CGTCATCACAGAGAAAGGAATCTCTGGTAAAGCACGCAATCCACTCTTCTTGAGATGGCACTTCTTTCCCTGTGGAGCAGTGGTTCTCAACCTGTGGGTCACGGCCCCTTTGGGGGTCGATCAACCCTTTTACAGGGGTCACCTAAGACCATCGGAAAACACATATTTTCAGTGGTCTCAGGAACAAATAATTTTATGGTTGGGGTCACCACAACATGAGGAACTGTATTAAAGGGTCACGGCATGAGGAAGGTTGAGAACCACTGCTGTGGAAGGAGGTAGTATGTAACCAGACCTTTTTTTAAAAAACCTTTAGACCTGGCTCAGCATTTCCTGATGAGAGCGAACATCACAGCAATCCGCCGGGTGAGGAAAACTGACAACAACCGGATTGCAAGGTGAGGATGCCTAAATCACTAAGTGTTATTCAATCACTGTACATTCTTTGCACGGGACGGCTAACTCCACGCACATCTGAACCTTCTGCCACTAGCAGGAAAACATGAAACCAGCTACCGACGGAAAGCAAGCCCATGGAGCATTACTAACAGCCCTTCTGTGTCAGCTCAGCATTAGGGCTATCTTGCTTTTTTCTCCCCCTGGCAGGGCTTGTGGCGCTCGTATCGTCAGCCGCACGGATGAGTTGCGTGAAGAGGATGTGGGGACTGGCGCTCGGCTCTTCGAAGTGAAGAAAATTGGAGACGAGTACTTTACTTTTATCACTGACTGCAAGGAGCCCAAGGCCTGCACCATTTTGCTCCGGGGTGCCAGCAAAGAGATTCTAGCGGTGAGCAACCTCCAAGCGTTCCCCCCCCCCCCCCCACCCCACCCCTGAGAAAATAACTTCTGAGGCTGTAACAGGCACCCGAGGCTTTGAATTTTCCTTCTGAAGAAAATGGCCGCCATTGGGCTGGCTTTCTTACTCTTGATTTACAGTCAGCAGTGCTTGTGAGGGGCGGCTGTCTCTCAGACCCACTGTTCAAGTGGAGCTTTGGGGGGCATTTCAAGGGCTTGCAACGATGTGGAGATCCTAATGGAGGCAGTGCAGCCTCCTGGCCTTTCACAGGGCTGCAGGAAGCCTTTGGGCGACGTCCCCTTTTCAGAGGTGGGCCTGACTGTTTTTAGCTGGTTTCTTTGGCGTGTTAAAGGATGAGAAGGAGAGCAGAAAAGAAATCTCCACCCTCGTCTTTGAACCTCCAGCTCTCAAAAAACCCACGATTGGCGCTGCTGTGGGGGAGGTGAATGTTGGAAATAAGAAGGTGACTTGAAACAGTCACTAAGAACCACCTGTAGTGAGGACTTGTTTCTGGAAGCATTGAACTGCTTGGTTGGCTACTGAGGCGGAGGTGGCCCAGAATGACTGGAGGTGGGTGGGGCTTTTATTCAGAAGGGGAGGGTAATGATTCTCACAGACACAGCCCCCCCCTCCCCCCAAGAATGGCTTCTTTTGCGACCCACTTGTCACCAAAAAATATTTATAGAGGGTAAACAAATGTGCTACTGAATTGCTCTCTGACTTGCCAAACAGCTTCAACCTCAAGCCTTCAACTTTCACACCGTCTGTTTCTCTCCTTCCCGCAGGAGGTGGAGCGTAACCTCCAGGACGCCATGCAGGTCTGTCGCAACGTCCTCGTTGACCCCCAGCTGGTGCCAGGGGGTGGCGCTTCCGAGATGGCCGTGGCCCACGCCTTAACTGAAAAGTCCAAAGTCATGACCGGGGTGGAACAGTGGCCCTATCGTGCCGTGGCCCAAGCCCTTGAAGTTATTCCCAGGACCCTCATTCAGAACTGTGGCGCAAGCACTATCCGTGCCCTCACTTCCTTGCGGGTGAGAGCCGCCTCTGATCACCCGCAGTGCGAACTGTTTGCCTTGTGCTCTTCGCCCTTTCTTTCTGGAAAGGTCCTTGTGATCGTTGGGTGGAGAGGAGTGGTGTGGTCATTGCACGGATAGTGGAGGAGGGGGAAGAGAAGGGACAGACAGATTACCTGTAGGAGATGACCAGGCTGTGGCAGGGGTCAAACGCATAGTAAGTCATGAATCCCTGCGTGCCCATAAGAGATCTAAGTCCAGCCCACCGTGAATGCCTCTTATCTCCCGCTCATTTCCCTTCATCGTTAGTAGCTCAGATTCTTATAGCGTGCTTAAGCTTGCAATACATCTTTATACTCATTTGAACTGACCATAATCTCCTGATTTTCCCGGCGCTGGACATTATCTTTCCAAACAATCGTGGGAAGTATTTAGTAAAAAAAAAAAAAATAGAATTTCCGACAATGAGCAAGAGGTGGACTGGTGTGAGACCCCTTTGAAGTCGTTGGATGGTAGAGGTGAAACACGGGGTGAGCTTCTTGGTTTGGGGATGCTTAACTCCATCTGTTGCTCACAGGCTAAGCACACTCAAGAAGGCAGCCAGACCTGGGGTGTCAATGGAGAGACTGGAGCCTTGGCTGACATGAAGGACTTGGGCATCTGGGAGCCCCTCTCTGTCAAGTTGCAGACCTACAAGACGGCTGTTGAGGTGAGAAGAAAGCCTCCATGGCCCAAGGAGTTGCTCTGAGACCCTCTTAGCCATTGGCAGAAGTGTCCTTCCGATGAAATCTCCCAGACTGTGCTTGAGTTGATGTTCTCCGGTTCCCTGGTGCCTTCTAGCCAAGTTGAATGTTGGGGATAGGGACTTTGGAGGGTTATTGTCATCTTCTTGATGGAGTGGTGGCCAAGGGGTGGAGTTCTCACCTCACAATCAGGAGACTCTGAGTTCGATCGTAGGTCGAGGCAGATATTTCTCTCTCTGGGCACAATGAGAATATAATACTCCTTACTTCATACTTAAGTGGTCAGTAGAGGGGACGTGCATAAGTGCACTAACATGCCTATCGTCCCTGTCACTGTATTTTTATTCTCTCTTGTTCTCGGGTTGTTGGTTTTTTTTGACAAATTCTAATAAATAAATCTGCTGGGGAAAAAAAAACTCTGTATTGACAACAGGAAGGGCACCCGGCCAGTTAACACTCAGCTCCGTTCAGTTGCCCAGACTCCACACCGCAAGGGATTATGGGGTTTGTCATTAAAAGAAGTCGATTGACGTAACCAGGCCACCTCCCTCCCTCCCTCCCTCCCTCCCCAGACGGCTGTCCTCCTGCTGCGGATCGACGACATCGTTTCCGGCCACAAGAAGAAAGGCGACGACCAGAGCAAGCAGCCCGGAGCCCCCAACGCAGCCCAAGAATAAACGGCCCCTTTGGCAACGAACGCGGGGACGGTTGGAGGAGGAGCCCCAGAAGCATGTCAAGAGGACGGGGTTCTTCAGCCTCTGGATTCAAAGACGGTTGGAGCCCAAACACCGATTTGGTTTCTACTTCTAGGTCACGGAGGAGGAAAGCGGACGGCGTCAGCCCTGCGTTGGCACGGAGGAGACGGGCTTTTATTTAAATGTACTCCGTAGCTGCTTGGAGGCTTTATTAATAAGAATAAGAATAATAATAAAAACGCCCCCTTCACGTTCCTAGATCACGTTTCGTTCTGGTTGTTTCCTCCCCGCTTTAACACTTAACCAGCTTGGCAGGCAGGTGGTTGGGAAGAGCTCCGGCGGCTGGTCTGGCTTCAAGCACAGCGAGTTCTCGACTTACAACAGTTGGTTCAGTAACTGTTCAGAGTTAAGACGGCCCATGAAAAATGGGTGACTTGCGACCATTTTTCATGCTTAACAGTTCTGGCAGCACCCCCGTGGTCATGTGATCAGAATTCAGAGGCTTGGCAGCTGGTTCGTATTTATGACGGTCGCAGCGTGTTCCGAGGCTCACGTGATCCCCTTCTGCAACCACCTAACCAGCAAAGTCAGTAGGGAAACCAGATTCACTTAACAACAGGGTGACTGACTTAACAGCTGCAGGGATTCACTGAACTGTGGTCGTAGCATGGGGCAAAACTCACTTAACAAATATCACACTTAGCGACAAAAATATAGGGGCTCAATTGTGGGCGTAAGTCAAGGACTACCTATATTCTTAAGATGAAAAAAAGCAGGATTGTTACGGAAGAGAAGGGGGTGGCAGGAGAGGAATGTCCATGCTTGGTTGGGGAGATGGGCTTTGTAGTCCAGTTCTGGAAGAGAATAGGTTGGAGGAAGCTGGAGTGCCTCTTCCCCAGTTTCTCCAGACACGCAAATCAGGAATCTGGAACCCAGGATCCAACTTTATTCATCCATTTAATCTCCAGATGGACTCAAATCAGTGGAACAGGTTGCCTTGTGGGTGTTTTGGCTCAAGGTTGATTCAGTCTTCCGTCCATCCGAGGTGGATTAAATGAGGACCCAGATTGTTGGGAGCCAAGACTGTAAACCGCTTAGGGAGGGCTGGAAAGGCACTGCGAAGCGGCATATAAGTCTAAGGGCTCTAGCTATTTTCCTTTCCTTCCAATTAGAATGCAGAATTACAAGCAAAACTCTACCCACAGTCAGGAATTCGATCCTGACCGGCTCAAGGTTGACTCAGCCTTCCGTCCTTGTGAGGTCGATAAAACGAGGACCCCGATTGTTGGGGGCAAGAGGCTGACTCTACACGGCTTAGAGTGGGCTGTCAAGCAGTACATAAGTCTTAAGCGCTCTTGCTATTGCTCCGTTGGAGGTTTCATTGGACAGCCAGTTGTCCAGAATGCCATAGGTAGGGTCTCCTGCCGGAGCAGCGGGTTGGACTAGATGACCTCCAAGGCCCCTTCGTTCTATATTCTAAGCGAGGGAGAGCCCTCCTGCTGGGCTGGAAAAGCTCTCCGGACCACCCGCCGGCCAGTCTCCCTCCCCCTCGGCCGGGGCGCTGCTCTTCTCCGCCCCCAAGCCGAGCTTGAGGGGGAAGCCCCCTCCCCCTCCCTCGTTCATCCGAGGGCAAGGCTGGCTTGCTTTGCCGCGGCCCCTTTAAGGGAGTCCCCGCCCCACTTGGAGGGAAGCCCGGAAGGAGCGCCAGCCGGGTCACGTGGCGGGGCTTTCACAAACCCCGCAGTGGGAAAAACATGCTGGCGGCGGCGGCGGCGGCGGCGGCTTCTTGGGCCGGCCTGGCTCTCCTCTGGGCGGCGGGCGGCTGCGCTGGGGACGCGGGGGGCTACCGGAGGAGGGTAGGTGCCGGACGCGGGAAGGGGAACCGCCGGGCGGGTGGGCGGGCTGGTGGGAAGCCTCGAACGCGGTTTGCGGAGGAGGAAGGCGCGCTCTGTATATGCCCCGAGGCGCTCTTGCCTTTCTCCCAGGCTCCCCCTCACACACACACCCGAAGAGGCGGGTGGACATCACTGGGTCTCCTCCCTTAAATTCGAAATGCGGGTAGTCCTCGACTTACAGCAACTCGTTTAGTCACCGTGGCAAGTTACAACGGGCACTGGGAAAAAGTGACATCCCATTGATGGCCATGTTTCACCTTTACGACCGTTGCAGCGTCCATCACGGGATCACAGTTGAGACAGCTTGGCAAGTTGACCTCTGTTTAGGACGGTCCGCAGTGTCCTGGGGGTCAGGAGATCCCCTCTGGCCATCTTTTTTGTAACCAGCAAAGTCAGTGGGGAAGCCGGATTCACTTAACAACACAATGTTCATTTTTTTGCAACATTTCAGTAGGTATACATATGGTTTCTAAACATTTTTGTTATATCTATATCTATTTTATATATATATATATAAAGTGAAATGCCACTCATGCATCATCACAAAATCTCCAGAACCGTAAAGCCTACAAACTTGAAATTTGGCCCCTAGGTTCCTCTTGGCTTCTAGGTGCTCACTAAGAAAGGATTTTTCAAAATGGCCATCAGAGAATTAATATTTCCTACATTATTATTAACGTGCTCTGGATGCTAAGGAGTTCTACTTCCTTTCCCCACTTGAAAAGAAATCTCTTCCAAATGCAAAGCACAGCAGAGGAGAGGAGTTTCAGTTTTGGTTTCAGAGCACCAAGCAGCTTTACTACAGAATAATTGAGCTAAGCCACGCCCAGGCTCCTTGCTGTCTCCTTGCTCACACAACAAATACTGTTTCAGTTTCCAAACAGCCCTCAACTCACACACTGACAGGATGCTAGCCAGATGAATACCAATGGATGCTGGTAGACAAAGGCAGAATTCCCCCCGCCCCACTTATTTTCCTCCCCCAAAACTAAGCCCAACCACATAGTTTCATAGCGAAGCACGGGGATCCAGCTAGTATTATATATATATTCCTTTCCACTAAAGTATGTACAATATATATTTCTTACTTCAAATATTTTCCCTTTTACGTTTTATGATGCATATTTTACATTTTATTATCCTGCCGTAATATTTCATATTCTTTATTTATCTTTATATCTACTGTTTAACCACTTGTACCGTGCATTCCAAATCAAATAATATTCAGTGCGAAGGTTAAAAGTCTGTTCACACAACCTTAACAACACAGAAACCCTGTGATCAGGGATCCTGGGCTGCTCGGGGTCAAGCATAACCAGGTAACCAAGTTTGACCAGGCCTTAAAACATTTGAAACTTGGAATCAGTCCAAACCAGGATTCCTCAATGCTGGCCACTTCAATAACTGGTAGATTTTCAAACGAAAGCGTGAGAAAAGTGGAAATCTTATAAAGAAAGAAAATATGCCAAACTCAATTGTGGAAGACATTAAATCAGGATTTCCCAACCTGGACAACTTTTAAGGTGTGTGGAATTCCCCAGCCTGCGTGGCATTGAAGTCCACACCTCTTAAAATGTCCAAGGTAAGAAGCTCTGATTTAGAAGGGAAGCCCTTGAACTTTCTAACTAGGTAGACCAGACCTTCCCCGTCCCAAGGCTGTCCCAGCGTGTGAGTGAAGAAAGGATAATGGGAGTTGGAGTCCTCCCTGCCGGGAAGGCACCCAGTTGGCACGAGCTCCTCCATATTCGTTGTATTTCCCTGGCTTTAAATCTACACTTTAAAACTTTATTAGTTTTTTTTTTAAATGAAAATAGTTATGTAGCCCTTATAATCAATTCTGGATGGTTCACAATCCAAAGAAAACTGCTTACAAAGCAATGTTTAAAACTGTAAAACTAAACACAATTTAAAAATATTTAAAAAAAAAACCAAACCCTGGCACCAAGTCATATTTTTTGATGTGGCAGTTATCTCATCCCAGCTCTTGGGGAAACCAAACTCGCTTGGTGAACCTTGTGACTGCTTTTTCTTTAATCCTGCCTTTATTATTTTGATAAATAACTCAAGGCAACAACATACATACCTACTTTTTCCTCCTATCCTCCGCACAACAACAACCCTATGGCGGGGTTGGGCTGAGAGAGACTATGAGTAATCCAACTTTACCCAGCTACTTTCAGGAAGTTGCATTACATTATTGAATTTCAGTTAGGAATCAACCGATGGAACAGAAGTTGCCTTCAGAAGTTGTGGGAGTGTCGTCCCCGGAACCTTTCAAGAAGAGACTGGACTGTCATTTCTCAGAAATGGTGTAAGGTCTCCTGGTTGGGCTGGGTGACCTACTACAAGGTCCCTTCCAACTCTGTAAATCTTTTTTTTTAATAAGGGTTTTTTATTTTTTTATAAGTACAAACAATTCATCTTCGATTTAATGGTGTGTCACCTGGGTACAGATACCTTGTGCAACAATAATCAAAATTACTACCATGTTTATTACATTGATATTAGTTCTCCATTGTTATTATTAATATACATAATGTCTCTCACACTATAACAATAACATGTTGAGATCTTCACTTATTAATATATATATCTATTATTATAATAATCCTCTTCTTACCATGTTTAATTCTATTAAGATATTTTCCTTCTTTCACTACTAGTTATTAGATGTCTAGCTTTCGTGTTTTTTCTCTAACCATCAATAATATAGTTCCCGTATCTTATAATATTCAGATTGCTCCTTCTCTTTAATTGCCAGTGTTAATCTGTTCATTTCTGCATATTCTAATATTTTCCTAATCAAATTTTTCATCAATAGGAATCTGATGAACTCTGTTAATCTGCTAGTTCTGCCTAATGTGGTTGTTTTTAAAAAAATTAGATTTTTTAAAAACTTATCAAAAACAAAATATAGGCAATCCTCGACGTACAACCACAATTAGGCCCAGCATTACTGTTGCTAAACAAGACAGTGGTTAACTGAGCTTGGTCCCGTTTTATGACTTTCCTTGCAACAGTCATTAAATGAATCACTGCAGTTGTTTTAAGTTAATCACCCAGTCGTTAAGTGAATCCGGCTTCCCCATGGACTTTGCTTCCCAGAAGGATCGTGAAAGGGCCCCCTGGACACTGAGACCGTCGTAAATAGGAGTCCGTTGTCAAGAATTTTGATCATGTGACCCTGGGGGGGGCGTTGCTGCAACAGTTGTGAGTGTGAAAAACAGTCATAAGTTGCTCTTTTTTTGGTGCCGTTGTAGCTTTGTGATCGTTAAGTCAAGGACTCCCTGTGATAGACATCCCTGTGGAACTCCATCGCTGGCAGCGCAACTCCAGATTTTAATTTGGGATTTTTCCTCCTTTCGTCTCTTTCTTTGCTGCTCTGGAGGAATCCGATAACCGTGATGGCGAAGCTCTGCCACAAGTAGTGAAGGATCAGATGATGGGATGTATGTGCAGAGGAGGCCAGATGAGGCCTCGGGGGATCCGGGGAAGGGTCCTATGTGGAGATAGCACCCAGGTATGGACAGAATGGACATGAGAGTGAGGAATACGAATCCTGATAAAAACATTTTCTCTTGTCTTCCTTTCTGTGCCTTTAAGCAGCCTGGCTCCTTCCTGTCTTCTCCTTCTCTACAGAAGGAGGGGGCTCACAGGGGAGGGGGGGGTGCTACCTCAGACAAAGATTTAAAACTCCTTTTACTTTTCTCTGTGGAAAGGGGGGGGTCACGGGGAGTGGGGGAGCCACCTTGAGTTGCTCTGCAATAGGAAAGGGGTTGGAACCGCACATTCTTAGCGAGGCCTTAAACCACTAGCCAGGATATCAGGAACAAGAATAGCTTGCTGATAAGAAAAACCCCAAAACCCACATAGCTGGCACATGAAACTGGGACACTTTGCAGGATACCCGTGACCTGGGTTGAAACACAGGTGACGCGACATTTAGCTGTGTAGGGGACTGAGATCCAAATAACCAATCAATGTTATCAGTTATGCATGCATTATTAGGGGAAGGGCAAAGGTTGAATGTGACCATCCCTTAATTATGAGAAAGATTGTAATTGGGGCCCTTGGTTAGCTTTTGAGCCAGGGTCCTTATATCTTGATACCAAAATAAAAGTATATTGTATCATACCTTGTGTCCCGTGACGAAGCAGCTTCGACACCAAGAACCCAGTTTTGGGGACAACAGTAGCACGCAGAGCCATTTGTGCTGGCAGGCGAGCCGCAAGCCAACTTTACCTCACTGCGCATGCGTGTGTCTCACAGCTGATTTTTTTCAGTTGGCTTGAGGCCATTTTTGGCCACCTACAGAGCCTTGGAAAAAGCCTCTGCAAGGCTTTTCAGGCCAAATTATAGGCCCGTTTCATCACTTCCTGTAATACCAGAAGTGACAAAAATGGGCCTATAATTCGTCCTGAAAAGCCTTTCAGAGGCTTTTCCCAAGCGTCTGGGGGAGGCTGAAAAAGGCCTCAAACCAGCCAAAAAATCATCTGTGAGGTGCAGTGCAGGTAAGCGGGTGGCGGGGGTTGGGGATTGCGTGTGCATACATGGGGTATGGGGAGGGTGTGCAGTGCATTCTAGGTGCTGGCATGTGAATGCGTGTGTGCAATTTTTGGCACAGGAGCCCCAAAAGATTAGCCACCACTGCTCTATAAAATGTATTTTGATTGGGGGTCATTAGAGCAAAGCCCAGAATCGTTCCTCTCTTCAGGATTTTCTTAGGGAAAAGAAGGGGGGGACGTGGGGCAGGGGACATAGAGCAGAATTCCAGTGTTTGAGGGGCTCCCCCAAAGAAGGAGGAGGGGGGGGTCAACCTATTCTCCAAAGGCTGGACAAGAAGCAGTGGGTGGAAACTAACCAGGGGTGGGATTCAGCCGGTTTGGACCGATTCAACCGACCCGGATGTTAAATTTGCATTTGGTTCGCCAAGCCACTAGTTGAACTGATTGGCTGGCCCCACCCACCCTCCCCTCCCAGAAGTCTCCATGAGGGCCATTTTGGATGCAGGTAAGTGCAGGCTCTGTGCAGAATCTCTGGGAGGGGAAAAAACGGGCCATCTGGAAGTACCAGAAGTCCGGAAACGGGCCTGTTTCTGGCTTTGGGACGGTCTCCAGAGCCCGGGGGGCAGTTTTTGCGTTCCCAGAGGCCCGAGGGAAGCCTCCGGACTCTGGGGAAGGCAAAAAACAGCCCTCCCGGAAGTTCCGGCAGGCCACGCCCACCATGGCCACGCCCACCCAGCAATTTTTGAATCCCACCCCTGAAACTAACCGAGGAGAGAAGCAACCTGGAACTTGGGAGAAACATCCTAACAGTGAGAAAAATTAACCAGTGGAACAGCTTGCCACCAGAAGTTGTAGGTGTTTCATCACTGGAGGCTTTTAAGAAAGGGTTGGGCAGCCATTTGTCTGAAATGGTCTAAGGTTTCCTGCTTGAGCAGGGGGATGGACTAGAAGTCCTCTAAGGTCCCTTCCAACTCTGTTCTGATTCTGATGCAGCCTTTTTGGGATAAGAAAGTCTGGGTGAGAGTTGTGGGAGTTCAAAGTTCCTCTTTTCCTCTGACTCAGAGCAGAAGGAAAAATGCTGCTTCTGGGTTTTCCTCCCTGAGCTTCAGAAATTAGAAAAATGAATCATGCCGTTTCCTTCAGAAACGTCACCAATGAATTAACTGCGGCTCTCGGCGGTTCCTTCTGTGACCATTTTCTAATCATTCCTCTTTCCCTTCCTTTTTTAATTTTTTTTTTTTTTAAATGGCTTTTATTGTTTGATCCAAGTATAAAATATAAAAGAAAATAGAAAATAGGAAATTAAAGGGAGGAAAAAAAAAAAGAGGGAGAAAGCAAATATAGGGGAAAAAGGAAAAAAGGTAGCGACTTCCAACTCTTTTTAGCACAGGACGGGTAGTCCTCGACTTAAAACCGTTTGGTTAGTGATCGAAGTTACAACGGCACCGAAAAAAGTGACTTATGACCACTTTTCACACTTATGACTGTTGCAGCATCCCCAGGGTCACATGATCAAAATTCAGGCCCTTGGCCACCAACTCATACTTATGACGGTCACAGTGTCCCAGGGTCACGTGATCTCCCTTTTGCGACCTTTTGACCAGTAGAAAGCCTGGTTCATTTAACAACTGGGTTACTAACTTATCAGCTGCCATGAATCACTAAACCATGGCGAGAAAGGTGGTAAGATGAGCCAAAACTCACTTAAGAAATGTCTCGCTTAACAACAGGAAATGTTGGGCTCAATTGTGGTCATAAGTCCAGAAGTACCTATGCCAAGGTAAGCTTTAGCCCCCTAGTTTACTAACCATGATTCATGGCTTAGTTCCGTGATGGCATGCGTGCCGAAAGTGGCATGCGTAGCCATTCTGCCGACACGCGAACCGTCGCCCGGAACAGATCCACTGTGCATGGGTGTGCGCCTCCCATCAGCCAGCTGATAGTTGGGTATCTGCCACACATGCGCAAAGGCCAAGGCGTGTGCAGGAGATGTGCGTGCATGCACAGGGGGCGGGGGGGGGGTTGTGCGCACATTGCATTATGGGTGCAGGCCCGCGATGATGAAAAAGTTAGCTGTCACTGGCTTAGTTAGTGGCACCTGTGTGTGAACTTAGCTTGTTGGTGCAAATCTGTTTGCAGGTCTCTCTGGAGTACAACCCAGGCTGGGCGAGCCCAGGTGTAAACCTTCTGCACACCCGAGCAGTGGGCGTCAACGACACGCTTCACTACGTCTGGAGTACCATCGGGGTCCCCACGGTGTTGTTGGTGTACACCGCGAGCGACAACAGTTCCCTTCAAGTCAACTGGACCCGGCTCCTGTCCTCTTCCCCGGCTGGAGCCATCCGGATCGAACCAGCCGGCAGCGTCTTATATTCCACCGCTGTGGTCTTTCCAAGGGTGCGTCCAGTGGGGAGGGGGCTGAGGGTGGGGGAGGAAGGCAAGGGGATACAGGTAGTCCTTGGTTTGCGATGATTCACTTAGTTAACAGTGGCAGGAGTGGTGTGGGGGCCTAAATGTCTCATCTCACCATCAGGAGGCTGTGAGTTCAACTGTAGGGAGAGGCAGTTATTTCTCTCTCTGGGTACAATGAGAATATATCTGCTGAACAAAACTCCACATTGGTGACAGGAAAGGCAACCGGCTAGTAAACACTCAGCTCCATTTCAGTTGCCATTCAAATTTGGGGGTCCATTGTGGAATGGAAATGAGTGGTACGGTGGCCTAGAGGTGGACCTTTTGCCTCACAACCGGGCAGCTTTGAGTTCGATCCTAGGTAGATATTTCTCTCTGTGGGCACCATGAGAATATATCTGCTGAGTATAACTCCGTATTGGCAATCTTGGGACATAGCAACGATCATAAAATCGAGTCAGTTGCCGAGCACCTGAATTTTGATCACGTTTTGACCCTGGGGATGCTGAAAACAGTCATAAGTGTGGGAAAATGGCCCTAAGTCACTTTTTTCCAGTGCCATCATAACTTTGAGCAGCCGCTAAACGAACTGTTGTAAGTCAAGCTCTCCCTGTATTGCAGCTCTGGGAATACAACGGAAGCAACTTGTTGGACCCGGTCCAGGCGGGACAGGTCTACCCCAGCTACAACCTGGGCAACTTCACCTGGGCCAGCCTGGAGGGGCAGCTGAATGAAACGGCCCTCAGCGCCAACTTCCAGGGCTCCAGCCGCGAAGGCACCTTCGCCAACGGGAGCATCTCTTTCAAGGTAAGTTGGGCTGGGTTTGTGTGTGTGCGTGTGTGTGATGTGGGGCAGAGGTTGTCTCCTTTTGGAAATGGCTGTGGGTTGAATTACAGGTTAGTCCTCGTCTTACAGCGGTTCGTTTAGCGACCGTTCAAAGTTACGATGGCATTGGGGAAAAGGGGATTTTACGGCCGTTTTTCCCCCCCCATCCTTACGAGCTTTGTAAGCAGGGCCGTGATTGCGTGATCAAAATTCAGACGCTTGGCCACTGACTCATACTTACGACTGTTGCTGTGTCCCGTGGTCATGCAATCCCCTTTTGCAACCACCTCACAAGCAAAGGTAGATTTGCTTAACAACCGGGTTGCTAAGTTACCAAAGCCAAAGCCAACGAGGAAGCCCAGTCACGTTACTGAATTAAGAACTGCAGTGGTTCCTTTAACAACTGTGGCAAAGGAAGGTCGTACAATGGGGAGAAACTCCCTTAACAAATGTCTTGCTTAGCAATGGAAATTTGGGGCTCCAAATCTCAAGGACTACCTGCATTGAACCCTTCACGGGACAACCTCCTTCGCCAAGCCCTGATAAATCAAGGTTAACTCGAACCGGGTTAGGGAGGGAGGGAGGGAGGGAAGCGAAGGCTGGTGAGATTGTGGTCGGTCTGGGCCGCCATCCTGCCACTGCCTCTCTGCCTCCGTCCCCCTGCAGGTGACGGCGTACGAGGAGGGCAGCCGCGACAGGCCTCTCCCACGCCTTCTGCACAGCGCCAACAGCTCCAAGGTGGAGTTCACCATGGAGGGCGTAGTGCCCCGGGGGAACCACTCCCGCTTTGCCCTGGAGATCCTGGCGGTCGAGGAGGGGAGCCGGAGGAAGCAGCTGCAGTCGGCCCGCTCCATCGATGACGAATATACCCCAACCATTTTTGAGGTACGGACGGGGCATCGGCTTTGGGTACCAGTCGACAGTCTTCTCGGCCATTGTTTGGGCGATGGAGCCATCGCTGGCTGGATTCGCATGGGGCTCCAGGCTCAGAGGGTCTCCGAAAGGCAGAATGGGACAAGTTGCCACAAGCAACTTGGTGTGGCCTGTCGGCCGCCGGCCCCTCCAGCAGCCAAATCAGAGGAGGAGGAGGAGGAGGAGGCGGCGTGGGAGTCAGGGTCAGCACCAGGAAACCTGAGAGCTCCGAGGGGGAAGAGGGAATGGAGCTGGCAGAGAGAGAGAGAGAGAGAGAGAGAGAGAGAGAGACGGAGGCGTAGTGTGGCCCGTCCGTCAGCCCTCAGATGGAGAGTCAACAGCACCCCCCCCCAGGTCTGGAGGTGGCTGGTGAGGAAGAGGAGGAACAGCCGAGTCCAGTGCCTGACGCTTGGATGCACAGAAGGCAGAGGAGAGGAGAGCAGTGGAAATCTATGGGCCGGTCCTTGGGCAGATAGAGGCACCCCTGCTAGCGAAGCCCCACCCAGGCTCTGGGGATCAAAGACAGTGGGGGGCGGAGATGGACAGGGGTGGCAGACAACTATTCATCTCCCGGCTGGACGGACTTGTTAGCCTGCGGTGAGAGAGAAACTTTTTGCCGAGGTGCCGGCGCTTCTAATAAAGGAATCTTTGAGTTCACTTCAGAGGGTTTGTCGTGTTTAGGGAGCTGGGTCAGAACACGTCTAGCTGCAACCAACTTGTAGTAGCCAACTCATCGTGGCCAATTAACTTGATGCGGGACAAGAATCACGAAAGAAAGGATGCCAAAAAGGAGGGACAGAATGAAACGTGAATGACAAAAATTGAAATATTTTAAAAATTATTTCCAGTCATTAAATTGTCGAATTGTCCCGCAGCGAGTGGTCCTGTGGCAAGTTGGTCATGGCGAGTTGAATTAAGGAGAAACTTTCTCACAGTGAGGACAATTAACCAGTGGAACTGTTTGCCTCCAGAAATCGTAGACGCTCCATCATTGGATGTTTTTAAGAAGAATCTAGACAGTCACTTATCTGAGATATCATAAGTTCTCCTGCTTGAACAGGGGGCTGGACTAGAAGACCTCCAAGGTCCCTTCCAGCTCATTCATTCTATTCTATCCTGTGGCAAGTTGTCCTAGACCTCTCTTGAAGATGCTTTTCCAAAAGGCAACTGGACTTTTTTGCTTGCTGTACATCATCATCTCCTTTTAATGACTCCATGATCCCTTGCGGGGTGGAATCTGATGCAACTGAAGGGAGCTGAGTGTTTACTGGCCGGATGCCCTTCCTGTTGCCAATGCGGAGTTTTGTTCAGCAGATATAGTCTCATTGTGCCCAGAGAGAGAAAATATCTGCCTCTACCTAGGATCGAACTCACAAGCCTCCTGTTGGTGAGGTGAGAGCTCCACCTCTAGGCCACCCCACCGCTCTTTCTTGCTTGCTGTACATGGGGGACACAGAACAACCCTCTCCAAAATGGAGTCTAATAATGGCGTCGCATTTCCTTTCCCCTTTCCTCCCAGATGGCCCAGCTGACCTCCGAGCCCCACAACCACAGCTTGGGGTCCAGCTTCCTGCAGTGGAAGACGGCCGCCTACAACTCTAAAACGCCCCGTCGGGAAAACACCGTCCACTGTCAGTATTACCCCCTCCAGGCGATGCGCACCCTCGGCCCCGAGTTCAGGATTCTCCAGGCTTACTTCGGGGAGGACGTCGAGCAACGCTGCAGCCTGTCTGCCCTCAATATCTCTTTTGGCAGTGAAGACAACGAAGCCTACAGCGAGAAGAGATACTTGAGCTGGTGAGGATCCCTTTATGGTGGGGATTTGGGGGGTGTCTTTGCCGGAAGCCGAGGATGGGAGGGGGGTCTCCTTCCTAGATCACTGGGAACTTCTTCCTGTGGGTTTGAAAGGCATCATTTCGTAAATTGGGGTTCCCTTCCTGTGATGGGGGCCAGCGCTGTGATCCAGGTAGCCCAGTTCTCCCAGTTTGATAGGACCCAGCGGGCACTTTCTTCGCTGGTCGTGATAAAGCGAACCGTTGTAAGTCGAGGACTACTTTGTAAGAACTCATTTTGCATTCAGTGCCGTTGTAAGTTAGAACGGTCACTAAACAAACCGCTGTAAGTCGAGGACTACCTGTATTGACTCATTTTGCCTTCCTTGTAACTTTTGAACAGCCACTAAACGAACTGTTGTAAGTCAAGGACTACTTGTAAGGACTCATTTTACATTCAGGGCCGTTGTAACTTTGAACAGTCACTAAAGGAACTATTGTAAGTCTAGGACCACTCTATAAGGACTCATTTGGCATTGATTGTTGTTGTAACTTTGAATAGTTAGGAAACGAACCCTAAGGACCAGGGATGGGCTTCAAAAAATTTAGCAATTTAGCAGTTCTCTTCCCGATGGCTGGATGGGTGTGGCCATGTTGGGCGTGACCTAGTCGGCCTCCTGCACCATGTGTGTGTGGGGGTGTTTTTGCCCTCCCCAGGCTCCGGAGGCTTTCCTCAAGCCTCCGGGAGGAGGAAAATGGCCTCCTCGGGCTCCAGAGGTTCTCTGGAGGCCAGAAACTGGCCCATTTCTGGCCTTCTGGAACTTCCAGGTGGCCCGTTTTCTCCCTCCCCGAGCCTCCGTGCAGGCCCTGCACTTACCTGGGATCCAAAATGGGCCATGTGAAGACTCCTGGGGGGGGGGGCGGGCAGGGTCTGCCAGTCGTTGCAACTACTGGTTTGGAGAACCAGATGCAAAATTAACAACCGGAACAGGTGCAAACTGATAGCAGCCCACCTGTCAGGATTCCGGCAGTTACCCCCCATTTAAATCATGAGTCTGTAGCCAAATTTCCAAAACTTAAAAGAAGATTTATTGGGAGTTAACATGTCTGGCACTGCCTGGGTGCAGCCGACTCTGAGGCACACCATTCATTGTCACCCTTGACCCTGGTTTTCCCTCCACCCCCTGGGCGTATCGTAATTCATATTCTCCAATGGGACACATCCATAGCCCAGAGTCATCTATCATACTCTCCAGTTAGAATTTTGCACAGCAGAAACTTCAGTCACCTAGTTCAGGGGTCGCCGATGTTTTGGACCTCAGGGACCACCAAACTCATAATTTTAAATCCTGCGGACCAGAGACCCTGGGAAAATCCCCAAAAAAGTGTGCAGGAAAATTCCCCACCCGGTTTTCCTACCGATTGATCGTTCTTTATTTGGGATTGCAGGATACCATCTCCAGCTCCGTTCTCAGGGGGAGAGAAAGAGAGACTTTTTGGCTTCATGAAAGAGAAGCAGCAGAAGTCTTTCTTTCTCTCCCCAAATTCCACCAGAAACGAGTCTTTGTGAGATTTGTTGCACTGGCGCAGCCTCTTGGAGCAGGATGCTTTGCAGGGTCCCAAATTCTCATTTCTGGCGGAGTTTGGGGGAGAGAAAGAAAGACTTTTGCTGCTTTCCTTGCGCTCAGCCAAAAGCAGAAGAAGAAAGAAGCGGAAAGAAGCAGCCCGGTGGCCAGGCCAGGCGCGTGGGGCGAGTGGGGCAAGTCCCCCCCTCTGCCCTTTCCCCCCTCCCCTCACTACCTCGCGTTGTTCGCAATGCAGCCTGGATTAATTGCTTTGGGGGTGACATTTCTCTGCGGACCACCATAATTTTCTCGCGGACCACCAATGGTCTCCAGCCCACTGGTTGGCAACCACTGACCTAGTTACTATCTTTGAAAACATTTATGGAATGCACTTTGCAAGCTGCTTCACTGCTCCCCCCTCCCTTTCTGCTGGCAACTCTAAAAAGACCCTAGAAATACTTCATGAGTTGACCCCACCCCTGAGAAGGACTTCCTGCCATGACTCGTTCCCTCTTCTTCCGTCTCTTTCCTTCCAGGTCTGCCTTGGTGGGCTTTGGGGAGCCCCCATGTGAGGGCTTCTCTGTGCTGGTCATCGGGATCCTGGCCGTGGCGCTGGGCACCCCGGCGGTGCTTCTCATCGTGGGCAGCCTGGCGGTGCTCACGAAGCAGCAGAAACAGTGTTCGGAGTACGAGCCCATCAACTGACAGGCAGCCCGAAGTGGCCCCCTTCTCCGGGGACCGAATTTTATGGACAGACCAACCGAGCTTCCTGGGCCGTTTTTGCAAAGGTGCCAGTCTCAGCTGCCCCCGTCGGGTCGGGTTTATTTATTGTTTTCCCCTAAAGGGGGCAGAATTCATCTCAAAAAAAATCAGAATAATCAGGATTTCTGGAGAGGGACGTGTTCTCCGGGCCTTCTCCTTGCATTGATAAGGATTTTGTGGATTTCTGGGGTGACAACAACACAGGGCCCTGCTGTTGGGTCGAGCAGGAATGGGACATGACTTAACACAGAGGCCTCCAAACTTGGAACTTTAAGACTTGTGGACTTCAACTCCCAGAATTCTCCAG